GTAGTGAATCACAGTAGAGGGGAAGAGGGGAAAGAGTTCTTCTGAATATAGTAAGACTTTGAACCATAAAGCAATGGGATGGGCAAAATCTCTAAGAAGGGGATCTGAGAACTGAGATGCTTAAATATGGTCCTAGTATAGGTCCTGAAATACTGGAGGCAGGTGGGACATTGAAAGTGTTCACACAGACTGGCCAGTCTAATGAGAGAAAAGCAGATAAAGACAATGGAAAAAAGACACTGATACATGCTAAAACACCATGCCTATGTCCTGAATACTTCACCTGGGACTCCCAGAAACTTAAATGACAAAACGCAATATGGGAACAGCTCTATGTAAGGACAAGGGCACTATAACACAGAGATGCTTAGGAGGTGGAATGCAAGATTCCGAGAGGAAGACAAAGCATAGAGGAAGGAAGAATGAAGCCATAGTCTCGGTATGTGGGGTATGCGTACATGTATAAGAACATGTTTCCATGTACGTGGTTGCCGAAGACAGAGAAGGATGTTGGGTGACTCCTCTAGCACTTACCACCTTACAAAGAGAAAGGGTCTCTTTGGACCTGAAGCCTACTGCCTAGTCTAGGCTGGCTGGTAGGAGCCCTGGGATGCATTTGTCTCTGTCCACCAAAGTTGGGCTCTCAGGAGGTACAGCCACACTGGGCTCTTACATGGGTGCTGGGGATTTGGACTTCTCCTCTTGCTTCCACAGGAAGTGCCCTTCTCCAGTCGGCCATCTCCCCACACCCTTAACTGGATCACTTCTGGACACTAAGAGTGAGGCTTGTGATTCATGACTGTTCAAGGAGAGTCTTCACCACTCCCCAGCTCTGTAGACAGTGAGTGAGCATGGTGTCTTGTGGCAGTCCTCCACACATTCCAGGAATAAGACAACAGCACAGAACTCAGAGTTTGTGAGGCCTCCCTGGAGTTCAACTGTGTCAAATACTTAGAACACTGCTGGGTCCGCCTTTCCCTTTAGTGCCAATTGTTCATAATCTCACCTTGATTAGAGGATTATTGGAGAGGAAGAGAGGAAAGAGGAAATTAAGGGTAATCTACTTTGTTTCTTATCAATCAACTGTGACAAAAGACTTGAGTTCTAACTTAAATAAACAAGACCTGCAGTTTGTCTTCAGTCTTTGTTAGAATTGCCTTATATTATGTTCATATGTTCACTGTCCACTAGTTCCATGAATAATTTAGCATAAGCTGACTGAGTTTTTGGAAACAAAAATATTTGAAGTAAAAGAAAAAGAAAAAGAAAAAAGCCTAATAAATAGACATTTTTGAATAAACATAAGGGGAAAAAGTATTCAAAAGCCACTATACTTATACCAAATACATTTATTAGATAAATAAAATGCAAATGAAAGACCATTATGCTTATAAAAACATTAAAACATAATTAGCACCCTTAAATGCATACTAAATTAAATATAAAAATAACATTTGGAAAACCCAAGCAGTTGTATCATAGCATTCTACAAGTAAAAATTATTTTCAATTATCTACTTTAAAAGTATACTAAGAAAGCTGGGCATGTATATAATCTCAACCCTTAGAGAATGATGTGGGGAGATCTTGAGTTCAAGGGCAGTCTGAGCTACATTAGTAACTTGCAGGCCAGTCTGAGCTACATGACAAGACTATTTCAAAAACTGAGCAGGGACAGACAGAACATTTCTGAACATATACAGAGAAAAGAAAAGCCAAAGTAAGATATTCTTCAAGTCAAAACAAAAAAAGAAAATTGAACTGAAAATTTAAATTCATTAATGAAATACAATCTGAAGTTGGAAAAAAGTACTTAACTTTAAGGAGGCAAAATTTAAAACTAAACTTTGAATTAACTGTTTACTTTTTCTAGAAGATGTATTGTTATATAACTCCAGTAGAGTGAAAAGGGCTAGTAAATGGCTTATGAATGAAGGCCCATCAACATGTGCTAGGGACATCAGTAAGTGGAGAACCAACTGAGCTATGTCTAAGGGCCATAGGAAGTACGCCAGTTGGAGGGTCGTATGGTAAAACAGTTACCTTGGACACATTTTGGTATACAGCCTGACTTTGATCTCGGACACAATACTTTCAAACATAATATGCTATTGATTTAAGAACACTTAAAGGAAAAGACTGCATAATAGTCAAAGTGAAATTGCAAGGTCCAGCTTTTGCTATGCTAATACAATAGCTTTGTTGAGATAACAGAGAGTGGATAAAGGAAGCCAGATAGACAATATTTATCTACATTTGAACAATGCTTTCAACCCTGTGCTGCATATCAGCCTGCTGAGAAATTAAGATATGAATTGTATAGATGATGTGACAGAGTGAATTACTAGTAGCTTCTAGATTTGAAATAAAGGATTATTATCCTTTCAGATACAGAAGTTCATACCAATGTATCTCAAGTTTTAATTTGCAGCTAGACTAATTATGTGAAATAAAATAAATGTAGCTTATACATTAATCATTTTCAGGGAAAGGTTAATTTAATAGAATTCAATATAATCCACAAGAAAAAAAATTTGGAAGCAACCAATAACAAAGAATCTAAAAGTGACTAATTTACCTATACAAAACTAGCACAAGGAACCTCATAAATAAAATATGTGCCTTTCATATTTTAGAATCAGTGTCATATAGGTTAATTAGCTGAATTTTTCTTCTACAATATATTATTTTCCAGTTTTTTTATGCACAGAAAATTCAGTGAACTTAAGTAAAGATAAAGCCATATAGCAAATACTGGTAGCATTTCTTATTATTTAACTTCATGTTGCCTGACTGTAATTCATCAGAGCAGCTGTGTAACAGGTAAGGTCTAGTCTTGGAGAAAGGACATAGAGGAGTTGGCAAGCACTTTCAATGTGATTATTTCAACCCAGTGTAAGCTCAAAATAAAGCATTTTGGTCTGGACTTAAAAGAGCAAAAGGCAATTGGCCATCATGTAACCATTTGTTCATACAATAATTCAAGATTCCTATTATGTGTGAGGCATTATGATACTAGGTCATCTACAATCCTGTAGTGTATGCTTACTTAGCAATAATAGAGTTGGGAAAAAGCAATTAAAACAGTAATGTTGCAAGGCTGGGATTTTTCAACAATTCTCAGACACTGTAGTAGAAAAGATACTATGTACCACATATTATAAGGACTTAGTTAATGGAAGTTCAAAAGTATTGTAAACAGAATTGCAGTGTAATGCTCTAATACCTGCAGATATTAAAATATCTTAAAGTATCTTTTGAAGGAATTTATAACCAATTTATGATAAAGAGATTATTAGAAATATATAGGTTATAATTTCAAAATGCAGGATTTGAAAGCATTAAAAATTTTCTTGTATGGGGCTAAGAGTTCATATTATTTTTTTCATATTACATTCAATAATAATGTTAAAACCTGCAACTACTAGCATTTATTTTTTTACAAATTGATTAAGACTCTAAGATCTAAATGAATGTGATCAGGATAAAACTACTGCAAATATTGGTGGACTGTAACATGTTCTACTTGCAACAGACAGAACTACATATTTTATAAGGTTAGTATTATCAATTGGCTATATTGATTTGAAGCCATACAGACTTCAGATCCCTGAGACTATTGTACATCCAGTGCTCTATCTACTGGTTCTACAGGCCCACCACAAACATCAGTGAAATCAGAGAATGCACTGAATTGCAAATGCCAAGATGTATACTTTATAGAGCCAAAAGAAGAGAATTTGCTAATGGTTCATTTTCTCAGGGTGTTATATTATTAGTTGATCACAGATAAGAGAATATAGTCAGGATTTCTGCAGATCAAATCAGGTAAGAATAAGACACATACCCTTGTATATGTGAATTTAGTTTGAATACGTGTCTTTGTAGAATTCTGCACAGAAGCCTACAGACCTTTCCTATAGGTTGACACTGGACACGTGGGGTGCTGCTGTTAGCATTTTAAACTCCAAAACTCAAACATTCATGGTTTTGCTGGATCTCAGATTCTAAACAGAGATGAAAAACACATTTTTTTAAGTTCCTGGATGTTATGGTAAAAGATGTGTATGAATTAGAGTAAGATCTCAACTTTCTAATTTACTCAATAATATACAACACCAAAATTGGCACTCAACACATTGCCAGTCTTTCAACTTCTCAGTACATATTTCCTCTTACGAGCTTCTGAGAAATTGAAAGACTCATAATGTGTTCTAAGTGTTTGTGTAAGAGTCAGTGTGAACATGCTTGCCACAGTGCTAATGTGACAGTCAGAGGACAATGTTCAGGAGTTTGTCCTTTCCTTCTACTATGTAGATCACAAGGATGGAACTCAGGTGGTCAGGCATGGGGAAGTATTCTTTGCCACTGGGTCATCTCGCTGGCCCCACAGGATGCTTTTAAACCAATCTCTGCTAGCAAACATTTGTGCCAGGCAAGGACTGTAGTGTAATGCTGGAACTTAGTTTAAGATCATGAAATGGCAGGAAGCCCTGTCAAGGCATTAGACCATATTCTTTTTTTAAAATTAAGTTTTTTAAAATTCATTTTATATACCAATCACAGATTCCCCCCTCTCTTCCCTCCTCTCACCCCCCAGCCCTACCCCACAACCCACCCCCCATTTCCTCCTCCAACAAGGTAAGGCCTCCCATGGGGAGTCAGCAGAGTCTGGTACATTCCATTGAGGCAGGTCCAAGGCCCTCCCTCTGCATCAAGGCTGTGCAAGGTGTCCCACCATAGCCTGCTCATGCACCAGGGATGGATCCTGATCCTACTGTCAGGGGACCCCTTAAGCAGATCAAGCTGCACAACTGTCTCCTTTACGCAGAGGGCACAGGCCAGTCCCATGGAGGCTCCACAGCTGTTCTTCTAAAGTTCATGAGTTCCCACTAGTTTGGTTTGGTTGATATTAGGCCACATTCTATGGCCTAGCCAGAGAATACAAGCACTGTGCCAAATAGTTACTTCTTAGGGGGCAAAAGAATCACATATTTTTACCTTCCTCTTTTCTCCTCTTTGCTTCTTCTTCATTCCTTTCTTTGGCTTTTAGGGCTTCATCAGCTTTTG